CTCAGAGACGGCACTCAGGCCCTAAGTTTTAGCCCCAGAACCCTCAAAGGGGGGGCTGGGGCTGGAGTGTTGGCTCAGTGATAGAGCACTTGTCTAGCATATGCAGGGTACTAGGTTCAAGTCTCAAAACCACCCCAACCCCCCAAAAAAAATCAACAGAAAAACAAACTTGTCGGGCTGAGAAGGTGGCTCAGTGGTAGAAAGCTTACCTTGCATGCATGAGGACCTGGGTTCAATTCCTCAACACCACATAAGCAGAAAAGAAGCAGGAAGTGGCTCAAGTGGTAGAGCGCTAGCCTTGAGTTAAAGAGCTGAGGGGATAGCACCCAGGCCCAGAGTTCAGGCCCTATGACCAACCAAAAATTAAAAAAAAAAAAATTAAAAAACCTGTGCTGCTAGTGGCTATTGCTACCTTATTTGTATGGCACAGGTAGAATGAAAACTCTGTTACGTTGTCTTACAAGTGTTTCAGTTGAGTATTAGTAACTAAAGATGTAGATGCTAAACCGAGCGCCAGTGGCTCACACCTATAATCCTAGCTACTCAGGAGGCTGAGATCTGAGCATCGCGTTCAAAGCCAGCCCAGGCAGGAAAGTCCATGAGACACTTAACTCCAATAAACCACTAGAAAACCAGAAGTGGCTCTGTAGCCCAAGAGGTAGAGCACTCGCCTTGAGCTGAAGAGCTGAGGGACTGGGCCTAGGCCCAGAGTTCAAGCCCCACGACCTCCTCCAAAAAAAAATGTAGATGGGAGAACTCAGCACTATAGTTCTTTCTTAAGTCATAGATCTTAGGGAAAAAGGACAAACTAGGAATAGAGTAACTTCAGGAATGCAATTCTGACCTCAAAAGTGTGTGCTGGGGCTGCAAATGTAGCTTAGTGGTAAAGCGCTTGCCTAGCATGCATGAGGACATGTATTTAATTCATAGCACCACAAAGAAAAAATTGATAATTTGATGAGTAACAACAGACCTGTATGATTGGGTTTACCTGCCTATGCTAGGTACATAATGTTCAGAGCCTCTCCTATCTGATTAAAAGCAATTTGTGATCTTGTGCTAGGAAGCTAATGTCTCATAGCATCTTTTTGAGGGCTGTAATTGGTAAATAAATATGTGTAGGTACACAATTGTGTGTATGTATGTTTCTGTATAATATCTATTATTGGTTATCTACTTGGGTGCTGAGGACACAAAATTATCATTTCATATTAACTGATGGCTTTATGGAAAAATGCCTTGGTTATATTCAAGGCTGTCATCCCCTTGGAAGAAATTTATCAGAGATGTGATCCTCAGGGATTTCTCTCTGAGGAATAAATGAATTAAGACTCTTACGTGTATATGTCTTTGTTCTGATATGTGGCCCTTTGTGCTTATAGCTCACCCATCTTCATTCTACCATTAACTTGACTGGCACCTTGTAAAAATACATTTTGAGCTGTATGTTTGGGGGTTTTGATTGATTGGTTGGTTTTTGTTTGTTTTTTTCAGTACTATGTAAACTCAGGGCTAGGCTCTGCCATTTGAGCCACACCCTCAGCCCTAGAGTTATGTTTATAATTGTACTGGATTAAGGACACTGTTTCAAGGGTAGGCATGGAATTACAGATTTTTGAGAAATATAAGGAAAGCAAGTTTGACTTTTTGTGTTTATTTACATTAAGGTAAAAACTGGACCGTCTGGAGATAGCTAACTCGAAAATGGAACACACTGGCTTCTTTGAGAAATCAATCTTGCTCTTAAGTCACAAGAATTCAAATGAACTTGTAATTTAAAATTTTGCCCCGATTGTGATGATCTTCCTATGGTGTTTGAGTAAGCCTTTGAAGAGAGTGGTAGTCCTTGGGCAGGTATGAATTAAGTCATATCATTGTCAGCCTATGATTCAAAACATCATTTTCAACTGGCAGCATATGACTTCTGTAGCTAAATTAGTAAGGTAATCTGCAGTAATACTAATTTCATGGGCTAATAGAGTCTGTTCTGGATCGGAGTTTTTGCTTTTATATACCATGTTCTGAAATAAAGGCTTGTGGTTTGGGATCCATAAGATACTCAAAAAAACTGTATTTACCTCTACAGGCATTTCATTTGCTTCTTTCTCTCTGCACTTTGAATTGCCAAATTGTATTGAATTGCTTTTTGATCTCAATCCTTCAACACCCTTTCTTCCAGAAGAGCTTAAAGCAGCGCCTGGGTAAGAGTAACATCCAGGCACGTTTAGGCCGACCCATAGGGACCTTGGCCAGGGGAGCAATTGGAGGACGAGGCCTACCCATAATCCAGAGAGGCTTGCCAAGAGGAGGACTGCGTGGGGGACGTGCCACCAGAACCCTGCTTAGGGGCGGGATGTCGCTCCGAGGTTAGTGTTCCATGTATTGAGTGATTGTTAGGCCCTATCCCCTTCCCTTTTCTCTTGGGCTGCTTATGGGCATATTTGTTTAGCATCTTTAATCCTGAATTTATTACTGTAATTAATAACTTTTGAAATCACATTTTTAGTAGTGCTGCATGTGTTATCAATATCATTTCTGATAATGTGCAATGGTAAAGGCATAACAGGTAATTCATGTCATCTCCATTCCATTTTAAAACACCCTGCTGCTGCTTGAATCAAAGCACATTCAAGTTCTAGAAATAAGTGTTAAGAAATACATACTTAGCATGTGTGAGGCCCTGGGTTAAATTCTCAACACCAAAAAAAAAAAAAAAGGGAGGAAGGAAGGAAGAAATTTGTTGGTCTTGTGACCTATATCTTGACTAGTTATCTCTCTCTTTTTGGTGCTATAGCACTTACTATATCTTACTTTTTGGGCACTGTTATACTGTTCCTTGTGTAGTTTTTGTTCCCTACAAGAATGTTGAACATTTAAAAATCTAGCATAATGCTAGACATCGGGTTATTCAGTTACTTAATAAATGTATGTACTTGGTTAAATCCCTGCTTCTTTCAAAGATAGGCTTGTGTTTAGAATTGTTGAATAAAGAACAGCTTAACCTGTTCACACTCAGTGTGTAGCTTGCCCCACCCAGACTAAAAATTAACTGAATTAATTACTCATTTATTTAACCCTCACCGCCTTCCTTTGGTTAGAGTCTATTTTGTCTCTCTTGGATTTACCTGCATATACATTGTATGCCTCCTCTCCAAGGTCAAAACCTGCTCCGAGGTGGACGAGCCGTAGCTCCCCGAATGGGCTTAAGAAGAGGTGGTGTTCGAGGTCGTGGAGGTCCTGGGAGAGGGGGCCTAGGGCGTGGAGCTATGGGTCGTGGCGGAATCGGAGGTAGAGGTTAGTCAGCTACCAACTTCAGAGAGTAGCTCCCCCTTATTTCCCTCCCTTAATAACTCAGAGCCACCTTTCTGCACAGCTTCAAGTCACAGGCAGGCTTCTTTGTTTGTCTTGTTTTGTTTTTCAAAACTGGCTTATTTCCTAAATCCACATCCTAGTAGTATAAAAGGTCTCATGATTTTTCTAAGAATCAGTCAAGTGTATTTATAGAGCCATATTTTAAGTTGCCTTCTTCCAGGCTTTTGGAAGAATTTAAATTATCAAAATGACGAAGTGTTCAGGTGGATTTTACTTCTTTCTGTCTATGCTCTACTATACCACGTACCTACTCCACAGCTCAGAAATCTCAGTTTAAGTCAGGTAAAAAGCTAGGGCTGGGGATGTAGCTCAGTAATGAAGTTATTGATCAAGAATGTACAAGGCCATGATTTTGGTCCCCAGCATTCTAAAGAGCAAGAATAGAGAAGAGGGAAATGTACAAAGATGAAGCAGAATTTGAGATTGTTAAGAGACTAGGGGTGTAGCTTAGTGAGAGAGTATGCTTACCAAGCATGAAACCCTAGGTTCAATTCCCGGTTTTCCAGGGAGTTGGAGAGTCAGGAGAAGACCTTGAATACTGGCTCTGAACCCAATAAATCATAAAATATCTGTGAGGACCCAAAGATAGTACTTCTGATAAAGGTAGAACGTAAGGTGATATTGTCAGTGAGCCACCTGGCTGTTACAGATAATCTTACCTTTGTGGCCTTGACATTTGCCTTGTGACTTTATAGCTCCAATTTAGAAAAGACCTGAATGATGGTGGCAATGCCAAATCTCATGGGAGCTTTCTGACTTAGAGCAGCACAAGGAGAAACTCCCAACAATACCTGTTCTGGATGAGGGAGACTATTCTTAGAGCACCTGAGATTTACTTTGATTCTTTTAAAATGTGTGAGTGGGTCTTCTATAACATTGAAAGGATATTCCATAAAGATTTATTTGTTTCTCTGCCATTATATAGTTGGCTTCTTGAGTAAAGTGCAAAAAAATGTTTCCAAATTATCTGGACTTAGTTTCTGAAAGTGACATCACAGGGTGGGAAAGACTAAAATAGCTTTTCAGAAAACAATGTATTAAGTGAATTGAAACTACTTCTCAGATAACCATAATTGCCCTAATGCCTAGTGTCAGAATGACTGCTCACATTGTTCCTGTCAGAAATAATTCCTCAATCTTTAGACACATAGAATCAGTTCATTAGACTTCTTGAGGAGAGTTGAGATAACTTTCCAGAGGGTCTCCATTAAACCTTAATTTGAAAACTGCCCTTCTGTACTGCCTACCTGCCTTACTAAATGGGATTATTATCTATAATGTGATTTGTGATTGATAGTGGGTTTAAGTTACATGTCAATTGTTTTACCTTTTGGGGGGAGAAAAAAAATTTGCTGGGCATGGGGTGCAAGCCAGTAATCCAAGCACTTGAGAGGCTGAGGGAGGAGAACTAGGGTTAGCCTGAGCTAGATATTGAAACAGAAGCTTTCAAATAGCATTTAGTGATGAGCATGTGATAAGGGATTCATTATGTGTGCTTTCCATGTGTTGCTTTCTGCCCAGTGTGTTTCTTGTTTCTCCAGACTTCTCTTTGCCCTACCCTTCAGCTTTTCTCAGCTAGGCCCCACTACTCTAAGGGGCATTTGCTATAGCACCCATTAAACCTACTTGTAACTGTTGTCTTTTTTTTTTTTTCCCCTTCCTTGGGCCAGGTCGGGGTATGGTAGGTCGGGGAAGAGGGGGCTTTGGAGGCCGAGGCCGAGGTCGTGGACGAGGAAGAGGTGCCCTTACCCGCCCTGTATTGACCAAGGAGCAGCTGGACAACCAGTTGGATGCATACATGTCAAAAACTAAAGGACATCTGGATGCTGAGTTGGATGCTTACATGGCTCAGACAGATCCAGAAACGAATGATTGAAGCCTGCCTGCTTACCCTTCTACAAGAGACTTGTTAAAGTCATCACATCTGTAAATAACTTTGAGAAAACAGAAGATGAAACCTGATGGATGTTGGAAGGACCTATAATAGGCTATGGACTTTTACCTGCCACCAGTTTGTGCGTTTTAGTGTGTTCATTTTACTTTTTGATACTGTGTTATATGAAACTTTTTCTCTTGATTTGGTTATTTTTGGGTTGTGTGACTTACGTGTTTTATTTTCCCATTCTCCCAGAATTCTCTTTAAACATGAATGTTTTGGCTTTATGGGCAGAACACTTTTCCTACCTCTGCCTTCCCTTACATGTCATAAGCTATGGCATTCTAACATTTCCTCTGTTCATCTTTGTGCTCCCCTAAAGGTGTCCCAGAGAGCCTTGATTTCTCAATAGAATTCTGTTCTGCATCCTCACTAATAGCTTCTTAGAAGTATTAAGAAAAATACGAAGCTTACAAATGCAGTCTGTGTCAGAAGTGTCAAGTAGTTGGAGACATTGACACAGAGCCACATTGTGGCAGCTTTGATTTGATGGAAATTGGTGCATTGGCACCACATAGATGGTAATGAGTGTGCTGGGTTGTATATGCATAGTTTTTAACCCCAAATGAAAATTTTAACTTTTCCTTTTGGTTTTGTATCCTGCCCAAGAGGATTGGGTTGTCTTGTACCCTCAGTATAGAGGAAAAAGTCATTTGGTTTGACAGATATGGCAGAAGGGAAAGGGACGGGAACGTGATGACAACTCTGGGAGAAGGGGTTGAGCTATACTGCTCTCAGAGTGAAATGCAATTATCCTCACATGTTCCAAGCTATTGTTGGACTTATCTACTTGGATTTGTTTTACCCTCTCCCTTGAAGGTTTAAGTTCAACCATAATTGTCAACTTTTCAGTTTCAACAAAATCTTGCATTTCTAGTTAATTATAACATTGTTCTCATTCAACCAGGATTTTCTCTTTCATTTGTCAGTTTCTTTAAATTGTGATAGTCATTTTTTAATGATGTCTTGATCTATCCTTTGTATGGTTGAGAGTCCTTCTTAGTTGTATTAAAATTGAGGAGGAGAAGAGAAAATGAAAATTTTGCTTTGATTAAATTTTGCAGGAAGATTGTTCATCGTTGAAAATAATAGGCCAACACATTCAGCCTATGAGAAACTAAAGCCGGATGGCACTTGGACCCCAGCATTGTTTTCTTTCTGCTGCTTAAGAAAAAGCCCAGGGGCTGGGAAGGTGGCTCAGTGGTAGAACGCTTGCCTTGCATGCCTGAGGCCCTGGGTTCGATTCCTCAGCACCACATAGGCAAAAAGAAAAAATCTGGAAGTGGCATTGTGGCTCAAGTGGTAGAACGCTAGCCTTGAGCTGAAGAGCTGAGGGACAGTGCCTAGGCCCAGAGTTCAGGCCCCACAACTGGACCCAAAAAAAAAAAAAAAACGGGGCTGGGAAGGTGGCTCAGTGGTAGAGTACTTGCATGCATGAGGCCCTGGGTTCGATTCCTCAGCATCACATAAGCAGAAAAATGCTGGAAATGGGGCTGACACTCAAGTGGTAGAGTGCTAGCCTTGAGCTGAAGAGCTGAGGGACAGCACCCAGGCCCAGAGTTCAGGCCCCACTACTAACCAAAAAAAAAGCCCACCCCCGGCCATGTCAGTTACCATTGGGCTGCCTAGAACCATAAACTGTAGGGAGTGGAAGGGATGGAGATGGGCATGGGCAATAGGTAATAGCAGAGGACTGAGCTTGGACAATAAGCCCCATTTGACTTTTCTAGTGCTGGAGTGCAAGAATGGATTTTACCTCTCAACTGCTGTTTTTAATTCCAGCAAGGAACAGGCAGGATGGCTGGAATCTTATGCCAAAAATAGTGATCAAGGGGTAGTCTCAGCAAAGGAATGGCTGTAGTAACCCAGGCTGTCTTTTCCTATCTTGCTTGTGTATCCCATCTCATGGGAGAAAAGAAATCCCAAACAGGAGCACAAAGCCCTGGGTGCTGGTGGTTCATTTCTATAATCTGAGCTATTCGGGAGGCTGAGTAGGAGTAGTGGGGATCATGGTTCGAAGCCAGCCCAGGCAGGAAAATCATGAGACTCATCTCCAATGAACCACCAGAAAAACAGAAGTAGTGCTGTGGCTCAAGTGGTAGAGCGCTTCCCTTGAGCTGAAAAGCTGAGGGACAGCACCCAGGCACAGAGTTCAATCCCCACAACCAACAAAAGAAAAAAGCACATTGAGCCCAATAGCTGGTAGGGGAATTCCCTGTGCTCTTCTAGGAGAATCATGATCTCTGAACTTGGTATGAATTCTACCCATCCTCTCCTGGGGCTTGAACTCAGGGCTTGGATGCTGTTTCAGCTTTTTCACTCAAGCCTGGAACTCTACCACTTAAGGTACAGCTTTTTGATGATTAACTGGAGTCTCATGGTCTTTCCTGCCTGGACAAACTTCCAATCACAATTCTTAGATCTCAGCCTCCTGTATAACTAGGACTACAGGCACATGCCACCAGTACCTGGCTTCTAGCTTTATTTTCTAAGAGACAATTACTTTGAAGATGTAACAGTAAACTAGCTTGACTTGGATTTGTTTTTTTTTGTCAGTCACGAGACCTGAACTGTCTGGGCACTAATCCCTCAGCTCTTCAGTTCAAGGCTAGTGCTCTACCACTTGAACCACAGAGCCACTTCCGGCTTTTTCTGCTTACATGGTGCTGAGGAATGGAACCCCAGCCCCTCATGCATGCAAGGCAAGCACTCTACCACTGAGCCACCTTCCCAGCCCCTAGTTGGGTTTCTTGTCCAAACACTGACCCATAAGCTTCCAAGGCCCTTTCCCAGTTCAGGCCTCTTTCCCTAATAGAGGCCTCAGAAGCTTGGATCCTTTTCTGCACTGACATCACTTTTATCCCCTGGGCTTCTCTTGCCAAGGGCTAACAAGCAAGTTGCAGTTACCCTAGCTACCCCTTTCATGTTAACTTGTCCCAAAATAAGTCCTGAGCCTCTTGGGAGTTTTACCTTTAAATCACCAGAGAGAACAATGAAACCCAATGTTTTTCAAATGTACAAGACTAAAAATCACAGCTGGGTCTCAGCTCTGCTGACCACCATTCTCTGGTGATTAAATAACATCTACCTCCATTACTGAAGATTATGATCCCCTTTATCTCTGTGGACCCTTGGGCTCATCCTCAGGGAGTATTTCAGCATCATTTTGTCCTACAAGTGCCAGGGACTTTAGGAGCCACTGAAGCACATTAATACCTAAGAACACATACTCTGAATGAATGGCCTAAGAAACCATCTTAGATGGAAGTGACGCTGTAGCTCAAGTGGTAGAGCGCTCGCCTTGAGCTAAAGAGCTGAGGGACGGTGCCCAGGTTCAGAGTTCAAGCCCCACAACCGACCAAAAAAAAAAAAAACCATCTCTGAGGGAAGAAAAAAACATGGCAACATAGAGTTTCAAGATTTTTCACTATGAACATACAACAAAATTTACTTTCACTGATTTTAAGTGTACAGTTCAGTGGCATTGAGTACATTAATACTGTGCACAATAATCACTATCTCCAAAGCTTTTTCATCTTTCCGATACTGGGACTTCATAATAAGCAAAACTCTATTCTCCTCTCCTGTTCAACCCAGTCTACATTTTCCCCAATGCTGAGACTCCAAGGCCCCACTCATGCTATTCAAGTGTCCCTACCACTGAGCTACACCCAACTCCTGCTGTACATTAGGCCTCTGTAAGTACATCTTACACATTCAAGCTTATTTCATATAGTGTCCCCCAAATTCATGTCCTAGCCTGTATCAGAATTTCATTCTTAAATTCATTCCTTTTTTTTTTTTGGTCAGTCGTGGGCTTGAACTCTGGGCCTGGGCGCTGTCCCTCAGCTTCAGCTCAAGTCGAGAGCTCCACCACTTGAGCTACAACACTACTTCCGGTTTTCTGGTGGTTAATTGGAGATGAGAGTCTCTCAGATTTTCCTATCCGGGCTGGCTTTGACAGTGATCTGAAGCCTCCAGAGTAGCTAGGATTACAGGCGTAAACCACTGGCGCCAGGCAAAATCATTCCTTTTAAAGACTTGTAGGTATGTAGTTTGTTTACATATTTCCTGCCATTAAAAATACTCGGGGCTGGGAAGGTGGCTCAGTGGTAGAGCGCTTGCCTTGCACGCATGAAGCCCTGGGTTCAATTCCTCAGCACCACATAAGCAGAAAAAGCCGGAAGTAGTGCTGTGGCTCAAGTGGTAGAGCACTTAGCTTGAGCTGAAGAGCTGAGGGACAGCACCCAGGCTGCCACAGTTCAGGCCCCACAACCGACAAAAAATAAAATAAAAATAGTCTTTGGGGACTGGGACTGTGTCTTACGTAGAGTGCTTACCTAGCATTCATGAAGTCCTGGGTTCAGTTCCTCAGTACCACATAAACAGAAAGCCAGAAGTGGCCCTGTGGCTCAAATGGTAGAGCGCTAGCCTTGAGCAAAAGGAGCTCAGGGACAGTGCCCAGGCCCTAAATTCAAGCCCCAAGAATGGAAAAAATACTCTTTGGTGGAGCCCAGCGTCGTGACTCACGCTTGTAATCCTAGTACTCAGATTGGGTAGGAAACTCTTTATCTCCAATTAACCACCAGAAAACCAGAAGCGGAACTGTGGCTCAAGTGGTAGACTACGGGTCAACCTTTTTCAAAAAGGCCCAGGCCCTGAGTTCAAGCTGACACACACACACACACACACACACACACACTGAGTTCAAGCTCACACACACACACACACACTGAGTTCAAGCTCTCTCTCACACACACACACACACACACACACACACACACACACACACAGAGCCTTTCTGCCTTTCAAGGCCTCCAAAGAACTACAACTCCCAGAAAGCTCTACGTCCAGGCCTTTTTCAAAAAGGCCCAGGCCCTGCGTTCAAGCTCACACACACACAGCCTTTCTGCCTTTCAAGGCCTCCAAAGAACTACAACTCCCAGAAAGCTCTACGTCCAGGCCCTTTCCGCCGGCACTCTTGAAACTCCATTTCCCAACCATCCCAGTGTCTCAAGGATGCGCATTTCCCGAGCGCCCTCTCGCGGCGCACTTCGGCCGGCTGCAGTTCCCGGCGGCCTCCGCGGCAGGCTCTTGGCGGCTGGATAGTTCGCCATGGCGGGATCTGCCTCCGCCACTGTGTCCGGGGCAGGGACCCCGGTGGCGGGGCCCACAGGCCGCGACCTCTTTGCTGAGGGGCTTCTAGAGTTTCTACGGCCGGCTGTACAGCAACTTGACTCCCACGTCCACGCGGTCAGGTGCTCGGGAAGAAGGCTGGGGGCGGGGCCTCGCGAGCTAGCCGTGTAAGGGCGGGGCCGCAAAAGGCGGAGATCTAAGGAGTTCTAGTGGAGACTGAGGAATAAATATGAGGGCTGGGGGCGTGGTTCAGGTGGTGGAGAGCCTGTCTGGTAATCGCTAGGCCCTCAGTTCAAACTTCAGTTCGCCAGTACGCAAACTGCCTAAACGAAGAAAGGAGAATGGGTGGAGGTTGCCGGCTGGGGCCTGTGAGGCCGACCCGTCCCAGTACTTAGGTCAGCAAAACCAGTACCATTGTAAGCCTTTTTACCTCTTTGCAGAGAGAGCCAGGTAGAGCTCCGGGAACAAATTGATAATCTCGCTACAGGTAAGCGAGCATCCCTGTATACCAGAAATCCGCTAAATCGCTTTCACGACCTTTTTATTCTGCCAACCTCTGGGCTGTGTCTGTCACTTCCACAGCGTCAGAGCTGCCAACACTCTTCTTGAAGGAAAGACAAAGAAAGTGAAGGAAAGGTGTCTCTATCCCAAGAGGGCGCAAGTGCCTGTCATCCCATTATTGGCCTACTCTTGCTAAGAACAGGAGATGAGCCAGCAAATGTTTACTGTCTGTGCCTTCTATCCCCAGAACTGTGCCGCATCAATGAGGATCAGAAAGTGGCCCTGGATCTCGACCCCTATGTTAAGAAGCTGCTTAATGCCAGACGACGTGTTGTCTTGGTCAACAACATTCTACAGAATGCCCAGGTAATGGCTCACATCTGTAACCCCAGCTTCCCAGGAG